TCTGTTTACCTGATCTCAGCCTAATTGTTGCGCTGGCAGATAGTTGGGGGATGGGTAGCCGTGCATGTGCATCGCATAGAGGTGAAAAACAGCAATCAAGGAAACAATAGCCCTCATCTCAGAAGCCGATGTTAACGGCTTGAGTAACTGACCTGCTTGATTCAAATGCTGATGACTCCCAGGCTGAGGCATTTGTAACTAAATACTTGGATTAAAAATATTGGCTCACAACTCCAGCTAACTTGCCTGTGTGGCCTGTTCCCTGTCTCTTGTTTTTTTCTGCTTATCAGTTACTTTCAGTTGAATTTCCAATTATCATCTCCATTGTTTAGTGCTCAATGCATTTGATAAATAACATTATATATATATAGTGTAATATAAGTTTAATAACTTTAAAAAATAATATAAGTTAGGACAAGCTTAATACTAATTGTATTCCCCATCATGATCCTATTTAGATTTCCCCGTCTTTACCGTGAAATTACAGCCCAAACTGCACCCCCCCCCGCCCCAACCCACGACGCCACGCTCTAATGCACAAACGCGCTCGCTCACTTTCTGCAGCGAGCCGGCCTTAAAGCACCAGCATCTGATAACCCTGTGTGTTACAGACTTGGGACATGACTGAAATCGCTGCGAGTTTGTGAAATTGGGATTACATGAATGTCTGCATAAGCAGTATTGCTGAAACCTGAAAGGTGGCCCTAATATACTGAAGCTTTTAAATAAATAACTAACAAATAATCCCCCGGTGTAATACGGAGGGTCCGTTGCAACCCTAGGTGAATCTACCGGTCGGCCCCGGTAACCCTAGCCGGCTTTCGGCGCACCTTCCCTGGGTACAGTTTCACCGATGGTCCGCTTGAACCCTAGGTCAATCTTCCGGTCGGCCCCGGTAACCCTAGCCAGCTTTCGGTGCACCTTCCCTGGGTACAGTTTCACCGAGGGCCCGCTGGTTCCCGGACTCCCCTGTGACTTATGGTTATGGTTTCAGCTGGCACTTAGGGTTACGCTTGCAGCTGGCACTTAGGGTTATTCTTGCACCTGCTACTTATGGTTATGTAAAGGGCCCTTTGTGCCCAAGACAGTCAGGCCCAGTCCGGCCTGCAGGGCCCTTCGGGCCCAAGACAGTCCGCCCAGGGGAGAGGGCCCTTTGGGCCCAAGACAGTCCACCCAGGTTGCCCTCTGGTCCCAGGAACCTGACCTCCATTGGACCCTTGCTGCCCGAGGTTTAAGCCCCCCCCCCCGACCGCCCACCCCCAGAGGTTTAAGCCCTTTAAGCCCCGCAAGATGGAACTGCGGCCATCTGGTCAACCATTTACAAGTTCGGCCATCTGGTCAACCATTTGCAAGTTTGGCCATCTGGTCAACCTTCTGTAAGATGCAGCATAACCGTGATGGCCGTCTGGTCAACCATTTGCAAGTTTGGCCATCTGGTCAACCTTTTGTAAGATGCAGCACAACCGTGATGGCCGTCTGGTCAACCATTTGCAAGTTTGGCCATCTGGTCAAGATAGAGACAGTTGACTAGATAGCCCTATTTAACTTAATGTGACTTTGGCCATCTGGTCAACTATTATAAGTGAGGCTGTCAAATTCAGTGCACCATCCCTGGGTAGATATGCAGACAGGGACCGGTGCTGGAGTTACTTATTACACATATCATTCCTGGATTGATGACTAGCAATCTTGGATATTTCGGTTGTCCACGGTACCTCCGCGGAATTGTACCCAGGATTCGGTGCACCTTCCCTAGGTAGACATGCAGGCAGGGCAGGGCCCGAGGTAAAGGGCCCTCGGGGGCCATTGACTAACTGTCCGACAAAGCATCGTTTAATATCAGAAATAATAGAAAACCAAAGAAGCATTGTTTAATATCAGAAAACAATAAAGACCATGAAAACAATGTTTAATACTGGAAACTGTGTAGAATTGGGAAGTCCCAATGCATAGCTGAAATTGACTCACAGATGCCTCCTGGTGTTTGAAAATGGGATTTTATGCCGTTTTTAGGAAATCAGTGTTAATCCGGCAGTGCAAAGCTGGAAAAAAGCCAGGTTTGCGTCAATGTGTATTTCTTGGCAGTGAATAGGGGATTGTAATTGACAGTTCAAGAACTCCGCTTTTTTTGCCATAAAAAACCTCTTCGTTCAGTAAATCATTAAAGCGCATGTATTCGGAAAATGTTTTCTTGTAAAATGACAAGAAAACAACATTTTTTTCTAGAAAGGGGTCTAACCCTAACTCCCTCCCAGCCCTAAACCTAAGGTCAGTGTACCGGATTCCTAACCCTTAACTTCCCTAACCCTAAGGCCAGTGGCCGGGTCCCTAATCCTAAATCCCCCTTCCTAAGGCTATCTAGCTGGATCCCTAACCCTAATTCCCCATAAAATATTTACTTTGACCCTTACCTCTTTATATATAAAAATCCCCCCACTGTGTTCCCTCACTATCACCCTGACTTCCGTGGAGGAAGGAAGCGGGACACAGTGGTGGTGAGAAAAACTTTATTTGTCTCTTATTCGGCCAGGATGGAGGCGGATTGACCTGGTGGGGGTCTTGGGCACTGGGGAGTGCCTCCGGGGGACACCGGGAGT